AGACAGTGAATTAGAAATTTTTCTTGTTTTTTTTTTTTTTTTTTTAATCCTCACCCGAGGATATTTTTCCATTTTTTGTACGGATAGAGTGGGAGGGAGAGAGAGGAAGGGAGAGAGAGTGAGAAACATCGACGTGAAGGGACACATCGAGTGGCTGCCACCCGCACGACCAACCAAGGCCGGGGACAAACTGCAACCGAAGTACGTGCCCTTAGCGGGGACCGAACCCGGGTCTCTCCAGACCGCAGGCTGACGCTCTAACCGCTGAGCCAAACTGGCCAGGGCATTTTTCTTGTTTTTTGAGGTAGGCCTGTAGTGCTATGAACTTCCCTCTCAGAACTGCTTTCGCTGCATCCCATAGATTTTGTGGTGTTGTGTGTTCATTTTCATTGGTTTCCAAGAAGTTTTTAATTTCTTCCTTGATCTCCTCGGTGACCCATTCATTGTTTAATAACATGCTATTTAGCCTCCATGTGTTGAAATGTCTTTGCATGTTCTTGTTGCAATTGATTTCTAGTTTCATGCCACTGTGATCTGAGAAGATGCTTGATATGATTTCAATCTTCTTGAACTTGCAGAGATTTAGTTCGTGTCCTATCATGTGGTCTATCTTTGAGAATGTCTCATTTGCACTTAAGAAGAATGTGTATTCTGTAGTTTTGGGGTGTAATTCTCTGTAGATATCTATTAAATCCATTTGGTCTAGTGCTTCATTTAGAGTCTCTGTTTCCCTGCTAATTTTTTTGCCTAGAGGATCTATCCAGTGCTGTCAACGGGGTGTTGAAGTCCCCTGCTATGATTGTATTGTTGTCGATTTCTCCTTGGAAGTCCTCCAGAAGATTTTTAATACATTTTGGTGCTCTTATATTGGGTGCATATATGTTTATCAAGGTTATATCTTCCTGTTGGATAGATCCTTTCAATATTATGTAGTGGCCTTCTTTGTCTCTAGTTATGGTCTTCATTTTGAAATCTATTTTATCAGATATGAGAATTGCTACCCCAGCTTTTTTTTGGTTTCCATTTGCTTGGAAAATTTTTTTCCATCCCTTCACTTTCAACCTATGTGAATCTTTTTTTGTGAGGTGGGTCTCTTGTAAACAACATGTAGATGAGTCATGCTTTCTTATCCAATCAGCTACTCTGTGTCTTTTTATGGGAGCATTCAATCCATTTACGTTTAAGGTGATTATTGATATGTACTTATTTATTTCCATTTTCGTTTAGTGTGGTTTTATTTTTCTTCCCATTTCTCCTGCTAATTACAGCAGTCCTTTTAACATTTCTAGCAGTGCTGGTTTGGTGCTGATATATTCCCTTAGCCTTTTTTTTTTTTTTTTTGTCTGGAAGCTCTTTATTTGACCTTCTATTTTGAATGATAGCCTTGCTGGGTAGAGTAGTCTTGGATTCAGATTCTTGTTTTTCATGATTTTGATTACTTCATGCCCTTCCCTTCTGGCCTGTAGTGTTTCTTGTGAGAAGTCAGCTGAGAGCCTTATGGGGTTTCCTTTGTAGGTAACCTGTTGCTTATTTCTTGCTGCTTTTAGGATTCTCTCTTTGTCTTTAATTTGTGGCATTTTAATTACTATGTGTCTTGGTGTGGGCCTGTTTGGGCTCTTCTTACTTGGGACTCTCTGTGCTTCTTGAACTTGAATGCCTTCTTCCTTCACCAAATTAGGTAAGTTTTCTGTCACTATTCTTTTGAATATATTCTCTATCCCTTGCTCATTTTCTTCTTCTTCAGGGACTCCTATGATGCAAATGTTGTTACGTTCCAGTTGTCTCACAGTTCTCTTAAGTTGTCTTCCTGTTTTTTAATAGTTTTTTCCTTTTGTTTTTCTGATTGGTTGATTTTTTTCTACCCTGTCTTCTAATTCACTGATCCGGTCCTCAGCTTCCTCTACTCTTCTTTTTAAACCTTCCAATGTGTTTTTCATTTCTGATATGTCATTTTTTATCTCTCCTTGATGGTTTTAAATTTCCAGTTGACTTATTTTCAGTGTTTCTATGTCCTTACTCATGCTGTTCAGCTTCCTCAAGATCATGGCTCTGAATTCTAGCTCTGTTAACATGCCTAATTGCTCCACATTGATCTCATCTTCAGTGGAGGTCTCTTGCTCTTTCATTTGGCTTCTGTTTCTGTTTCACCATTTTGGCTATCACTGTGGGCTTTGGATCCTGTCAAGTTTTCCCTGTGGGTGTTGGTGTTCTGCTGTTTGTGGCTTCCTCTCCTATGTTTAGATGAGCGAGGGAGAACCCACATTAAACACCACTGTCAAGTCTTACTTTCTTGGTTAAAGTTGCCAGCCCAGGAAAGGTACTGTTATCCTCTAGCTTTTTGCCTGGAGGCTAGCAGTCGAGGTTCCTTGATGAGTTTTGGGTGTCAGTTGATTGAACAACTCCCTCTGGTGCTCAGTAGAAGGGGCTTTCACGAGGGTGGGGCAGATGCTGGTTGTTAATGAGCTTCAATTAGCACTTCAATGGCCCTCAGGGTGGGGTTGGATCTCTGAGCAGAGCCAGGGGCTGCTGCCCCTTCCCAGAGCCCTGGGAAGGAGCAATGTGGCCACCGTCCTTGTGGCTGCACTCAGCAATAACTCTGAGTGCCCTACAAATCCCAAATGTCCCGACACAGTTCCAGTCCAGTCTGCCCTCCCTCTGCAGGAGCCTAAGGTGAGTGGCTGTGGCTATTTTAGCCTCTGTCCGGCTGCGCTGTGGAGCCGCCTGGGAGTGTAACCCAAGGGCGCTGCTCCCAGCTAAGGCCACTGCCGAGCTGCCGACCATGGGCTCCCATCCCCCGTCTCGCGCCCTCGCAATCCTACCAGGATGGAGTCAGTGTCCCTCGTTGTATGGTCCTCGCAAGCTGCTTTTCTGTTGGTTTTTCCCGTCAATTTGTCTGTGTTATAGTTGTAATTCCAGTTTGGTTCTGGGAGACGGTCTGTGTAGCTCCGTTCACTCCGCCGCCATTTTTCCCCTCAATCTTGATTTGCATTTTTGACACATCCTAGCATCCTAGGGATAAATCCCACATGATCTTGGTGTATGATCCTTTTATTGTGCAGTTGAACTCTGATTGCTATGATTTTGTTTGAATTTTTCATCTTGTTCATCAGGGATATTGGCCTGTAATTTTCTGTTCTTGTGTCCTTGTCTAGCTTTGGTATCAAGGTAAAAGTGGCCTCATAAAATGAGTTTGGAAGTGTTCCCTCCTCTTCAACTTTTTAAAACAGCTTGAAAAGGACTGGTAGTTCTTTAAATGTTTGGTAGAATATACCAATAAAGCCATCAGGTTATGGGCTTTTTTTCATTGAGAGTTTTTGATTACTGATTGAATTTTCTTACTCATCGGTCTGTTCAGATTTTCTGTTTCTTCATGATTCAGTCATAGTAGGTTGTATGTTTCTAGGAATGTATCCATTCGTTCTAGACTATCTAATTTGTTCACATATAATTTTTCCTAGTAGCCTCTTTATTTATTTTTTATTTCTATGCTATCAATGTAATGTGGCCCCTTGCATTTATGATTTTATTTATTTGTGTCTGCTCCCTTTTTTTCTTAGTTACTGTAGCTAAAGTTTGTCAGTTTTGCTTATCTTAAAAAACACCTCTTTCTGTTGATGTTTTCTGTTGTTTTTGGTTTTTCACTTGTTTCTTCTCTGGATGTTATTTCTTTTCTTCTCTTAATTTTGAGCTTAGTTTTTTTCTGTATTTTTGTCCAGTTCTTTGATGTGTAAAGTGAAGTGGTTTATTTGAGCTCTTTCTTTTTTTTAATGTAGGCATTTATTATTACAAACTTTCCTCTTAGAACTGCTTTTGTTGTATCATGTGTTTGGTTATGTTGTATTTCTATTTTCATTTGTTTCAAGATTTTTTTAAATTTTCCTTTTGATTTCTTCTTTACCCATTGGTTGAGGTCTTTATTTGGGGTCTTTTATTCCCAGTGCCCCAGTGCCTAGCTTTAATAAACATATGGCTCCCATCAGTGAATTTGTTCTTTCCCAAACAAGTACAATATACACAAAACCCCTCCTATGATGCAGTAGACCTTGCCCTGGTCACCCAGCAGGTGGAATACCTTCAGCCAGCCTCATGCCACTTCACCTCCACTCCTGCTTTGCTGTCAAGTTCCATTTCTCTTTGGTGTTATATATATTTTACTTTTTAGACTGTATGTGTCAGTGGCATATATTTGGAACAAAGATGGTACCTGATCTGGACAGGAAATATAACTTGTTAATTTTTCTTAGGGACTAGTATTTCTCTGTGTCTTTGAAAATCTTATACTGATATTAATGTCTTACTCCCCCCACCTCCATTACCTTTTTCTTCCTTAGCTATTGGTTTTCTTCCTAAGAGTTTTGTTTTGGTTATTGGTCTTCTTTTGTTGAATTTTCTTTCTCTTTTACATGGACTTGGTTTTCTCCTGTTTGATTAGCCTTAGCACTGTTATATAGGGTTACAAAGGATGGATTGAAATAGAAGTGACTGAGTGGTCTGAAAGCTAAGTATCAGGGATCGCAGGGCTTTTTTTTTCCCTCACCAGAGGACATTCTTTGCATTTATCTTCAGTAGAGCAAGGGGTGGGGTGGGGGGGAGAGAAACATTGATGTGAAAGAGACACATTGAGTGCTTGCCACCCACACGACCCAACCAGGGCTGGGGACAAACTGCAACCGAGGTACATGCCCTTAACGGGAACCAAACCCGGGTCTCTCTGGTCTGCGGGCTGACGCTCTAACCGCTGAGCCACACCGGCCAGGGCCGCAGGGCTTCCTTATTGATATGTTCTTCCTTCTGAAGTTACGCACAGCCTGACAATTAGCAGTATCCAACAGAAGCAGAAAATAAATGGAATTTTAGGAAATATTTTTTTTGTATTCAAGTTTTAATTATCTGATTAGTTTGTATTTTTGGAAACTTTGTACTATCATTAAATATATTTGCCTCAATATATACTCTTTTAAAATAATCACATCAATATTTTTAATTTATTTTTTTTCCAGTGTAAAGGCAAAATCAGAGCTTGAGACTGAAATCCAATCTTTGATGCAAATCAAGTCAAAAAACGAGACCTATCTTAAAACATTATACAAGGATGCTTATCATGTTGGTGCTGTCTTCCACATAACCAGGTTTAAAACGGAGGAATTAGAAGGACAAATAGCGGAAGTGAGAAGAAAGTTCAAGGTTTGTATGCCTGTGTTCTTCTTAGTCGTGAAAAACAGTGCTACACCTGAATTTTATTGATCTAATATTAATCATTAGATTTTAATTTAAGTTATAATAGTCTTTTTTAAAAAAATTACTGCTTTTGATAAATCAGAAGAACAAGCACTGCTCTGCGGAGGCCCAGCTAGAAGAGAAGAGGACGGGGCCCCGTGTGGCTAATCAACACTGTGTCTCCTTTCTGCTGCGACCGACCGTCAACTCCCTCGGTCAACAGAGGAGCGGTGCTTGCTCACCTCATCCCACATGTCTCATCTCTGATATTCTTGCTGTGCGAGGAAGGAAGGATGCTGGGAAGTAACCTTGTACCTTTCCCACTGTAAGAAAAGGGAGCACCTACATCAGGCCTACAATTTATGGATTCTAGAACACCAAGCACCTAGAAGACCACAGTGTGTAGAAACAACGGCCCATAGGCCTCCAATTCATTCCTACCTGGAGATGTGATGAATAGCCACTCCCTGGCTATGGAGATGAGCAACGTCAACTCCGTTTTATCACACACAGGGACTACATTAACAGGCTGCTTCTGTCTGTCACACATCACACTGCCTCCGTCTTTGGCTATTTTCTTACTAAAGACTTCTGATCATGCAATGATCTGTAAAATAGAGAATCCATATTCTGTGTCCAAGCCCTGTAACAGCACTGTCTTCAGTAAGCAGTTTTATTGTGCTATCTAAATTTAGGACATGTGAATGTTTCTATACGGAGATTGGGGTTTTGTTTCCACATGGAGTATGGCTGCTGAGCTGACTTGGTGTTTCATGCCTTTGTCCCTTCTCATGGGTTTTTCAATAGATTTATCATATCTTATATGTTCTAAAATTAGTATGATAAAAATTATATGTAGCACCCTGGCCGGTTCGGCTCAGCAGTTGGAGTGTTAGCCTGTAGACCAGAGAGTCCCGGTTTTGGTTCCGCTAAGGGCACGTACCTCAGTTGTGGTTTGTCCCTGCTCCCAGTTGGGGTCGTGTGAGTGGCAACCACTGGATGTGTCTCTCTCACGTGGATGTTTCTCTCGCTCTCTTCCTCCCTCTCTCTCTCCCACTGTATCTGAAGATAAATGCAAAAATGTCCTCAGGTGAGGATAAAAAAAATTGTATGTAGCAAAAATTAGTCTCAAAATGATTTTAACATTATAAGGCATATGATTATATATGATTATAATATATATATAATACATACATATATATGCTTTAGCATGTATAATAATACTATAGATGTTGTTTATAATTTTCTTGAATTTTTCATTAATATGTGTTTTTTATGGCTATCGATTATTTTTTTGTTAACTTGCACACAAGGATATTTTTCCATCGATTTTTTTTTAGATAGAGTGGAAGGGAGGAAGGAAGAGACAGAGAGAGACATCGATGTGAGAGAGAGACATCCATTGGCTGCCTCTCGCATGATCCCAACCAGGGTCAGGGATTGAACCTGCCACCCAGGTGTGTGCCCTTGACTGGGAATCAAACCCATGACCCTTTGGTCTGCGGGCTGACTAACTGCTGAGCCAAGCTGACCAGGGCTCAATTAATATTGTTATTGAAGTTATCAATGAAGACATCCTTCACTTATTTAGCCACTTTATAATGTGTTTTATTTTATTTTTTTCAATTGGCAGAAACCTTTGGTATTGGTCACATATTTTCCCATAGCTGTTGCAATTTACCTTTAATTCTTCAGACATATTGCCTCACCCACCTGAGACACTCACTTACCAAGAAAGCTGTTGCATTAACTTTTTTTTTCTTCTGCCATAAAATACACTTTGTAGGTTAACTGCAAAATGTTTTTGTATATTTTTATTGATTTTTTTAGAGAGAGAGGAAGGGAGAAGGAGATAGAAACATCGATGTGAGAGAGAACCATCCGCTGGTGCCCTCCTGTACGCCCCCTTCTGGGGATCAAGCCAGCAACTGGGGCATGCGCCCTGACCAGGAATTGAACCAGGACTTCTCAATCAATGGGATGATGTTCAATGCACTGAGCCACACAGGCAAGGCGGTTAAATGCAAATTTGGTGTGATTCCACCTTACCTGTTTTGCCAACCCAAAGCAAAGTGTCCCCCTGGCTTTATTCAAGTAAAATTTAAGAAATTGCTCATCAAGTCCTTCTCCTTCCCTATGGTAACTGAGAGATAATTAGAAATAAGTAACAGAAATAAACTGCTCCATGTAGGAAGTATTTCCCATTGCCAAAAACCTTGCTAATCTCTGAGCTAAATATATAGGATATTAAATTCCTATGATGTACACATGTGTATCTGTGTCAGAGTGGTAATGAATTAAAAATAAATTTCTAGGTAGTTCTTAGATAATTCAGGTTTGTAGTAATTCAAGTTTATATTTTCTGCCTCTGTAATGACCCTATTATTTTTCATTGACTAATTAATGGAAATCTGTATAATTTTCTGAGTCTGGGCATCATTTTTTGCAGACAACTTTGTGTATTTGTTGATTCTGGCCTGAAATTAGTCCTTAAATTCATGTCCTCTAGAAATTAATTATAGTAATACTACCTGTAAGCTAGCTCTGAAAAATAACCTGTTGAAGCCTTAGAGGAAGTTTCAGAATTATGTTCTCTCAAATAAATGCATCTGTAAAATGCCCAATAATTCTTAGGCAGTCATAGACTAGAAGTAACTGTGAGCAATCAAGATATCTAGAAGTTTCTAGAATTTTCCAGTTAAAGGTTTATCCAAATTTTTAAATACCTTCAATTCCAATAACTGACCTATTTAAAAATGACAAAATTAGTCAAGTCCCAGGACAAAATTAACCAATAATGATGGGAGATAAATCAATAAAAGTGTACTAGGTATTACATTATGTTGTTGATGGAATGAACAGAAAATCATCCAGTGTTGTCTGAAGAATGTGATATTGTTACAAAAAAATCTTGAGAGTTTTCATCAGATATTAGATACTTCTCAACATTTCAGTAGAAGGCTTCTCTGCACGCTGCAGGAATTTGGAGTGTGTTTTGCTTGAACATACTGGAATTTTGGTGGAAAAATAGAACATCAGGCCACTCTGGTTTCAGCTTAAAACAGTACTAGAACTAAGTGGAAGTAAATAAATACATAAATTTTGAGATTTATTCCTTGAACATGTGTTACTTAGAAATATGTTGTTTAGTCTTCACATATTTGGGGATTTTTTTTCTAGTTATCTTTATGTTATTGATTTCTAGTTTAATTCTATTGTGGTCTGACAGCAGACATTGTATAATTTTCTAGTCTTTTAAATTTGTTTCGATGTTTAAGGGCTATTTTTTAGGCTAGAAAAAGACAATGTGTTATGTCTTTAGAATGTAGGTACTCAGTAAGTGTTTATGGAAAGCATGAATATGGTTAACAAATAGTGAGAAAATGTAAAATACACAAATTTCTAAGTAACAGAATAGCAGATAAATAGGAATATAAGAATAAATTATAAATTGACTCAATTTTGAATGAAAAAAATGTTAATGGGACTTCTGCCTTTTTAAGTGACTGAGAAAGGTCTTAGTAGGCTGGCTTCACCAAAGATGATAACTTTAACCCCTAGACCTAGAAAGGAAGACACTAAAAAGGCATAATGCATATTTAAGTTCTTTTAATTTAGTAATTTTAAATTGTTTTTATAAAATAAAACCTTCATTAAAATAATAAGAAACATAAAATAATAACCCTTGTGTTTATTTTTAGAACCAGGTTGGGCCGCCACTTGGACTTTCTGTTAGGATCCTGGCCACCAAAACAGTGCACAGCCAAAGCTGCCCCGCCCCACTAATTCAGTATAGCCCTCAGTTATTTGCACAAATTCCAGATTTGGGGTTATGATTTTAACTCTGAATTTTAAAATATCTTTCTCTTCCTGGTCTGAGAGCTTAGATAATAATATGAGTTATCTAACTTTTTTCTTAGTGCCTCTTCGGTCCCTGGAACACAAACTGATGTTACTGTCTCAATTCTGATATTCATATATTCATATTCAGTGTTATTTCCCTTTTCTCTTGAACATCAGTTTCTGGACATAACACTGATTGTTCCATACTTTGCTTTTTGGCTGTCCTTTGTCCTGCGTCTCTTCTAGCAGAATAGCTCTCTGCTGCCACCTTCTGGTTTCTGACTGCTAAAACCAGGAAGCAGGTCAAAGGTGACAATTTTTAGTGTGGGCTCTTCAGATACTGTCACCTCCTTGCCCTCAGCTTCTTTCAAGCTCTTCAAAGTGATCTTTTGAGATATATATATATATATATATATATATATATATATATATATATATATATATAATTTTTTTTTTCTTAAATCAGAACTGAGTAGTTGTGACAGAGACTTTATGCCCCCAAAGCCTGAATTATTTACTATCTAGCCGTTTACAAAGAAAGCTTGGTGACTCCTGCTCTAAACAATACAGGAATAGCATATGTAGGGAGCAGCCACAGCCTTTAGGCATAAAGGAATGTACCCAAAGAAGGAACAAGCCTGGAGGAGGCCTCCCTCCTCCAAGGACGAGTAAAGCCTTGTTGGAGAGGGTGTGTCTGTGTCTCAGTGAATGGCCCATAAGCAGCCCCCTGCCAGATGCTAGAGAAATTGGAGGGAGGGTACATGGAATTTGATTGGAGTTTCTGAGTAGAGTACCTGGCTGGGGTGCGAGCCCCAGTGGCTCCCCATACACTAGCTGCAGGAGGAAGGAGAAAACCACCAGATGGAACAAGACGTGCAACCCCTTACTATAGCCCTGTGAGCCCTTCCACTACCCCCCATTGGTAAAACCTAACTTTACTCCAGCTGCAGAAGAAAACTGTTTACAACATCCAGCTCCAGTATCTCAAATTGGAGTTAAAAGAGTGGTATAGAGCTAAGAGGCAATGGTTAAATAATTGGCAGACATTTATAGTCCACCTGCAGATTTCTTAACTTAACTGGTTGCTATATGTAATTAATCATCACGTATGGCATGTTTTGTTA